AGCATCCACGGACCGCGGTCTCTTTCTGAATCTCTTCTCATCAGATATGCAAGAGAGGAAACAATCCGTGCCTGTTAAGCTTGATCGCCTTTCGGTCCCTGGCTGTTGAAGGAGCTTGACATTTCCAACTGCCAATAGCAATTTGCTTTATAGCGGCCCCATTGGGAGACTGAAGCGTTTTCTCTGTGTTACACCAAGTCGGTGGAAGTAGAGAGATGGGCAACGGATGGGGCCAAAACAAGAGGGGTCGGATGGGGAAAAAGAAAGAAAAAGAAAAAGGCAGGTTTTTCTAAATAAATGGATGCGATTCAATCACCACCATGAAATGCTGAACATTTCTGGGCTTCAAAACCGAGATGCATTTCAAACCCACTAAAATGAATTACCGTATTTTTTGCACCATAAGACATACTTTTTTTTCCAAAGAAACATTGGGGGGAAAGTGTATGTGTCTTATGGAGAGAAATTCCCAGATTATTTTTTCCTGTTTTCTTTGCCTAAAAATTTGGTGCGTCTTATGGAGAGGTGCGTCTTATGGAGCGAAAAATACGGTAGGGTAAAACTTAGCTCAATGCAATCCAATTTTCGGCTAGCATTTGGAGGCAACACAATTTTAATTCAGAGGGTTGGGTAGCTCAGTGGTTTAAATAGGTCGGAAGTTCAATTCCTCCAATATGTGCCCCTTTGACAGGGACTCAACTCGATGATCCAGAGGGTCCCTTCCAGCTCTGCAGTTCTAAGATGATGGTGATGATGATGATGAGTAGGGGGCACAGATGCAACTTCAAAAAGCTTCTATGGATGCCGGGGCTTGTGAGGAATGGGGAACAGGTGTAGCCCTGCAGAGGTTGCTGGATCCTCTCATACTCCCTCACCTTGGTCTAGGCAAAGGATGATGGAACTTGCAATTCAACCACATCTGAGGGTCTACACTTCACTCAAATCTGGGCTCGAGGATTTAAAGCAAGGCTGTCCCTTTTCCCCTCCTTAGAACCAGAGTTTAGAAGTGCAATGTTTCTGGACTGCAAGTCCCAGAATCCCCCAGTTAGCATAGCATGATGGGAATTGCAGTCCAAGGAAATACCATTTGCAGGCTAAAATTGGGATTCTAACCATCATTTTATCCTCATTAAATATCTACCAGGAGAAAAGTGGCCTAGAAATAAGACAGAGATGGACGGACAATTTTCCATGCAGTTATATCCTCTGTATGACTGAGAGCCAGCAATAGCTGGCTTGGGGGGGGGAGAAAGGAGCTAAGTGCGGGTGTGGGCAGGCCCCCTCAGCAATGACAGAAGGGTGGCTGGCCTTGAAGGAAACACCCGAGGCCGACGAGGGTGGGGGGCCTCAACCCACCCCCAGAGAAACAGCTGTAGCTGAGGTAGCTATAGAGGTGAGTGAGCGCGGAGAGGAACCGGACATTCGGGAGGACGCCTGGGAGTTTCCGTCACCTTTGGAGAAGAGAGAAAAGATTCTGCCGGGGGAGATGCTTAGAAAGGAGTCCTGCAAAGGACGACAGAGACACTGCTTTTCTTTCCTTTGTATGCTGAGTCCAATAAAGCTTAAATGATCACCAGAACCTGCTGCCTCATCATGGAAACAGTGGCTGGGGCTGCTCACCATGACCTCAGGTGTGTTTGCGTGAGCGAGTCAAGTGATGACGCGGGACAGATGATGTTATTGAGGAAAATCACATCCCGTGTCAGTTTCTCCCTCTCTTGTCCCATGTATGACAGCCCCGATGCTCGGCTCTGGGCAAAGGAGAGCCCTCGACAGCAAGAGAATCAAGACTAGAGGTGGGCAATCGCTGCCAGTGTGATGGTTTGCGCCGGTTCATTTCTCGCCTGAACAGATTTTCGACGGTTCCCCAGGCCTGCCGCCTCCTCCAGCAGGTGCCCAATCAGAGGCAGCACACAGAGGAGGCAGGGCAGGGAAGCCAGGGTGCTGCCTGTGAGTGGGCACCCCTGGAGGAGGAGATGGGGCTGGGAACCCCCAAACATCTGTTCGGCCAAGAAACGGACTGGCACGAACCGTCGAACCCACAGTTCGTGCCCATCTGTCGTCAAGACCACAAAATGTTCCATTGAAATGGTGGTGGGGATGGGAATCAGGACCTTCTCTATAGCAGGCCTGTATTCTTGGTGCACGTCTGTGCGTGAACACCCGGAACGGCCCTGGATGCTCCGGTACGGCTATCTCTGGTCCGTGGGAGTTGGACAATGAAAGTGGAAAATCCAGATTTATTTTTTTGCACTTCTGTGTCTTAACAGCCAGGTGATCTCACCAAGGAAGATAAAAGAGCAGTCCAACAAAGCTCAGGAAAGTTGTTGTGGGTTTTTTGGGCTCTTTGGCCGTGTTCTGAAGGTTGTTCTTCCTGACGTTTCGCCATTCTCTGTGGCCGGCATCTTCAGAGGACAGGAGTCAGAACTCTGTCTGTGCTCTGTTGCTGTTTGTTGGATAGTTGGACAGTTGGATAGTTGGACAGTGACAGATAAATCTCTCCCTCTTATCACAACAATACATCCATGACAAAAACACGCTGATCACCATGATCACCCTATCTCCTGAAGAGGACAAAAGCCGTTCCCACAGCTATAAAAACTATCCAATAAACAACAACAGAGCACGGACAGAGTCAGGAAGAACAACCTTCAGAATACGGACGATGAGCCCGAAAAACCCACAACAGTCATCAGATCCCGGCCGTGAAAGGCTTTGAGAATACTCAGGGAAGTTCCTTATTAAAAAACCCTCCAGCTCCCATATTGGATTCTGGGAGTTGTAGTCCAATCCCCCTGCAACCCCCCCCATTTTGACATTCTCCTGGGTGTGCCCCCATTGAAATGAAGGTGAGCAATCGAAACCGGGGCCCTTCTTGTAAGCTGCCTAGAGTGTTCGCAACGAACAGATAGGCGGGATATAAATGGAATAAATAAATAAATTCTTTGGCACAAGCTTTCCATGCGAGAACCAACATGTTGTGTCCCACCGCTGGGATGTTGCTTTTTTCCTTGCTGTCTTTCTAGTTTCCCATAGCGCTTGGCAAAAGTCCGGTGTTTTGGACTACCCCAGACCACACGACCCCTGCTTTGCATGATAGTCGATTAAGATCCAAAAATGTAACTTTCCCCATGAACCAGAGGCATGGTCTTGTGCGACTCTTGTTGATTCTACAGGCTTGACGTCAAGACCTTCTCCATGGCTGCGGTCCCAAGACTTTATTTGACCGTCCAGACCACGGCTGGATGCCATCCAGAGACAAAGATCTTTTCAAACCTGAGCAGCAGACTTCTCTTGCCAGCCACAAACTTGCCCGCCTAATTGCTTAGCAGCAAAAAAGAGAGATCGGCTTCCGTGGAAAAGTGTCTCATCTTTCCAGGTATTATTGACATCCGTGTCTTGGAAACGGGGCCTTGGGCATCAATCTTGATCCAGCAGGACGATTACGGAGCAGGCGGTGGTGGCGATTACGGTCGGGCAGAAACCAGAGAACTGGTTGTTCGTGATGGTTTCTGGTTAACTACGAACCCCCCAGAAAAATGAATCCGTTTGCTCAGGCTGCCTCCACGTCCGTGGGGGCCTGGTCAGAGGCCATGGCCGACTGCTGGACGGGAAGCTGAGCCCACAGCCTCGGAGGATGGCATCCATACCAGCAACGGCAGCAGGAGCAGGTACGCAGTCAGAGGGAAGGGGGTGGGGGCAGGCAAACTTTTGTTGCTGGCATTAATTGGGAAAAAAAGATTAATTTTTTTTTTTTACTTTGGGAATACAGGACCCCTGAACTGGGTCACAAAACGAACCGCAAACCATCCTGGTCCATCCGTTTTTTGTGGTTTTTTTGGTTCGTTTCATGCGCATCTCTAGTGGTGATAATAAAGCAAAGCAGAAAGCGTGCTGCTTATATACTGCCCCATAGAGCTTCAAGCACTCTCTGGGCGGTTTACAAGTAGATTATGCAGGCTCCACAATGCCTCCCTAGCAAGCTGGGTACTCATTTTAGAAGGATAGAAGGCTGAGTCAACCTTGAGTCGGCTACCTGGGATTGAACCCCAGGTCGTGAGCACAGTTTTGGCTGCAGGACAGCAGTTTAACCACTGCGCCACAAGGCTCTTAACAATAACAATAATGTGTATTATTAAGATTACAATTGTCATTATGACTATTATTGCCAAAACTACCTTCTTTTGGGGAAAGTTCCACAGTTCTGAGCAGAAGCAACTTGGTTGCAGAAATGGGATGGGCTTCGAGTTCTCTAAAAACCACCACCTTAACGCTCTGAATTTTTGTATTCTCGAAAGCATTCACGGCCTGGGATCTGATGGTTGTTGTGGGTTTTTTGGCCGTGTTTTGAAGGTTGTTCGTCCTCACATTTCGCCTGTCTCTGTGGCCGGCATCTTCTGAGGACAGCTCTGAATTTTTCTCAAATTATGAGTATACCTTTTGCCAGGCACTCTTGGCAAGCAGCTGATGGGTCCAGCAATGGAGGTCTGTGGCCCTTGTTGGTTCATTCCACATTTCTCTCCGCAGGCAGCTGGATACTTAAGAGTGTCTCTCACTGCCAAAAAATGCTAATCTCTTAAGTCCTTGGTATAAAACTAGGAGTCCTGATAGAACTTACTTGCACGTCCCCTTCGGGAGTTGGTGTAATTGTTAAGTGTCTGACTAGGGAGGGCCAGAACATGAAAACCTTGGGGGGTTGGACTCCGCAAATCAGAGTGAGCCAGTGTGATGTAGTGGATAGAGTGACTGACTAGGACTCCAGAGACCTGGGTTCGAATCTCTGCTCAGCCATGGAAACTCACCGGAGCTGTCAATGATAAAACCACTCCTTAAGCATCTCACATACCTTTTAAGGTTGCCATCAATCAGACATGACCTGACGGCATGTAATACGCCACTCAGTTCAGGGCAGAAAGCAGAGTTTATATATATAAATACACACACACACACACACACACACACACACACACACTACTTTATAAGTTTATTATTTCCTTTCAGCCACGGCAGCCGCAGGAGGATTTCCCTCCCCCATCTCCACATCTACCATTTTGAAACGAAACAAACGAAAGTCTTCTTGAGATGAACCGCAGAAAGGGAAGGAAGGGGATAACATCTGCTGCCCCAAGTCTGGCTAAATAAATAAGGAAAGGTCAAAGGTCATGAGAAACAAGACAGGCTCCTCCCCCGAGAGGACCACGAAAAGGAGACGGCGAGAATGTTCAGATGGAGAAATGGCCGCTGGTGGACACGGAGACATCTTGTGGAAGGTTGAATCAGTCTTGCTTTCCAATCAACTGTTCTGGAAGTTTCTGGAACACTGACATGAAGGGCAGAGCAGGGAATGCTGGTCCTTCAAAAGAGGGGAATTCAAGGCCAGGATGATGTTCAGACTACAGACCTTTTCTCCCTTCTTTCTTCCTCTTCCTCCCTCCATTGCAACCACGTGGGAAACAAGTTCTCAAAACAACAACAGTTCACAGTCCCGGCTTCCTAGCCCTTCACCATGCATGGACATCAGAAACACGCAAGTCTCATTTCAAAGGACTCCATTACGTCTTCTTCATCGTCTTCACATTTTATAACGGGTTGTGATATCCCCAGTGGAAAGCCATGGAAAAAAACAGAGATCCTTCTTCCAGAACCACTTGGTAGCATCTGATCGTGCATCAGCGAAGCCTTGGTCCTCAACGCCACATCTCAAGTGAAGACGGACAGCTTCTGAAGCCTGGGGACCCGAGTGGAATCTCTCCGCAGATATTGTGACACCCACTGGAGAAATCCTCACTGAAGCGCCTGAACGGACTCTCACGGAGGGGGATCTCGTGTTGTGAGGGACCTTGAGGCCGATCGAGGGGATCCCCAGCCCTCGAGGGAGACAGAAGTCAAACCTCCTTCTCAACATTTAAGGGGTCTCTGGGCATACAAGAGGCAGCCTTGCTCAGCCTGTCAGAGGAAAAAGGGACTCCTCACGAGTAAAAGGGATTATGTAGTATGCAGGGTTCTCATCATAGGCGAATCTCAAGGACTCAACACCCAGGCAACTCTGAAGGGCCTGAGGCTGGACCCTTCTCTCCCAATAGCCCCCCGTCGGCCTCTAAAACACAGCAGAAGATAGGAAACCAAGCTGAACCAAACCAGGAAGAGACCAGAGATATCCTTCCCTGTTTTTTGACTTCTAGGTTTTTGGGGTACGAGGGCTGGGAAGCAGAGACTCCCTCCCAATGCCAACAGCCATGCTTCTGGGGGCCTTTGAGAGCCAAACCCTACTTTCCATGGCGACGTTTTCCTCTCTGATAACTCCTTCCTCTGATATAAACGGCCACCTGTGGATCCCGCTTGCCCATCCCTGTTTAGCCTACAAGGTGGGCATTTCTGCTCTGAACGAAGCCTGGAAGGCCCTGGTTGGAGAGCGTTCAGTGCTAGGCACTGAGTGCGGGGATAATGTCTTTACACCTGCTCTCAGGGAGGTATAGTCCCGGCTACCTAGCCCTTCACCGTGCATGGACATCAGATTACCCTCCAGCCATGATTCACACACTGTTCCTGCGTGTGGAATTTGCACTGCCTTCACACCTCTGAAACCTCTTCTGCATTTGCATCTTGGACCTTCCTTCTTACTGTTAAGTCTTGCAACGACTCCTGTAAATTAGTACTTCTCCAATGTTGTGTTGCCCTCTCCAGCAACACAGCTGACCTCCTCTCCCCTCGAAAGAAGCCCAGAGCATGGAAGTCCAGCCTCCTACTTAGGAAAGCTCTTCCCTTTCCAGATTGACCAGCCTTGCACAACATGTCTTCCAACAGCTGCTCACCAAGACATGGGAGAGATGACACGCCTTGACCCGGGAGAGAAGCCTGCTGATTTAGCAAAACTCAACAGAGCAGGCGCCAACGCGGCATGCAAAGCCCTGCTTGTCACCCGGCGAGGGGAACAACGCTCCGAGTCGGCATCTGAGCCTTGGAAAAAGAATATTGAACTCCCAGGCTCTCTAAGTCATCAGGTACCAGAGGCGAGATCGTCTCTGGCTGAGCGATGCCGGAAAGTTGCCGTGAGTTGGTGTAGATGTCCCAGGGCTCGACAGAAGGGTGATCCCTTTGTTTCGGTGGTCTAGAGAAGACTGTGTCTGTGAAAGACCCCTTGAGACATGAGTAAAGCATCCAGGATCGACTGGGAGGAAGATCTCTCACTGGCATTGAGATGACCTTCTGGCTTCTAAAGCTTATCTAGTGACGAAAGGAGCTTATTCAAAGCTACTGGTCCAAAGACGGCATCTCCTCTCTTATAATATCTTCCGAGCCCTTTTCCACAAGAGCTCCTTCTGTTCATGTCTTCTCCTTTTTTTAAAAACTAAATCCTTGAATATTTGGTTACTGAAGTCAGAGACGACGCTGACTGTGAAATCAATCAATGGCCCTTCTTAAAAAACACAACCGAAAACCCCAAACCACAGGGGCTGTTTTATCCGTCATGAAGTTCTTGTGCTAGGTTGACAAGCACCTCCGATGATATCTTTAATTTGGGCTCGGTGAAGAGGAGGGGAAAAAAAATCCATCCAGAAGTTTCTCTCATCATCCAGCACATTTTGGTCCCAATTATCTGTACACTGGTTTTGGTGGACAAAAGAAGTGTTTTTTTTGGTTTTTTTAAAATGATGCTTTAAAAAAAGTCTTCAACGTAAAAGCTTTGGCTGCTTCTGTCTTCCGTCCTACCTATGAGTCCCTTGGTCATTCGCTTTTTTTGGGGGGGGGGCCTTCTCAGACGAGCGACAAGTCGGCCTGGAAGCTGGAGCACCGTCGCGTCTTCGGACTGCACTTGGTCAGCATGGAGATCTGAGTGCTGAAGTTGGTGCCGCTACTGCCCAGCGATGGGTGGTGGTACTTCATGTCGGAGCCCAGGAACCTCTCCATGTGCCACCTACGCCACTTGCGCTTCAGCTCAGCTTGAACCTAAGAAGGTATTTCAAAAGAGAGAGAGAGCGGATTAGTTTAGGCGTGAGAAGGAACATCCCCAGATAGTGGCGATCTCCAGCATCCCATGCTTCCTCAGACATCTCACTTATTGAGGCAGCTTACTCTCTAACGGGCGGACATCCGTTTGGGGAATTTCACAGCTGAGCCGAAACTTGAGATCAAAGCCTTCAAGTCTTGGTCTACATGGTTCCCAACCTTGGGCCCCCAGATGTTCTTGGACTGCAACTCCCGGACGCGTTTGCCACTTGCTGTGCTGGCCAGGATTTCTGGGAGCTGTAGTCCAGGAACATCTGGGTTCATCAAGATTGGGAACCTCTGGAGGGTTTCAAACCACTGTCTCTCAATGTCTTCCTGGACCTTCTGATCATCATGGAAGCACTAACTAGCACCGTTCCCTAACTGTGCTAATTAACAGAACTCACCATGTATATTTTATCAAGCACATAGTAAATTTCCCTCCCCTCCCTTCCCCGCTGGGGAAGATGGGATGTGAGACCTCATAAATAGGTCTCACGTTTTTTGGAAGCATGCTTGAAAAGAAAGTAAAACCATAAAAGGGTTGTTTGCAGTACAGCGAGAAACATGGATTTTGGGAGACTACATACAGCTTCATCCATGGCTCATTTGACAGATTGATTGATTGATTGATTGATTGATTGATTGATTGATTGATTGACTGATTGATTGACTGACTGATCATCTCATAATTACGACAACTTTTTTAAAAAAATCCAATTTTGGTTTTGCCGTTGTTTAAAACCTGAGAAACCTGCATTTTAAACCATTATATCATGCATTGTACCTTGCTGATCAGGGTGTGGTGTTTTGCAAAAAAATTCAAAGGCAAATTTCGTTATGCTTAATGAATGAATTAGTTAATGAACCAGTTAGAAGGCAGATCATTAGTTAATTAAACATTTTAACAGGTGAAATGGCAGCTCCTGAATCAATACATCCAACAAATGTAATTATACCTAATCTGAGAATTAGTTGATGAAGTGCTTAAAAGGCAGATCGTTGATTAATTAATTAAACATTTTAAAGGGGCTGCCAGTCTCAGACACATGGACTGGGTGAAAGATTCCCCCTCTCTTACCTCTCCATTCAGGAAACAATACAGGACTGCAACCACAAAGCCCTAAGGAGAGAGGGGAAGTGGAGAAAGAGGTAAGAATGTCTTTATTCCATCATCTTTATGTACAAGGAAACACACTTAAATCTGCAGGTCTCTCCGCTCTGCCCCCTGCCCCTAATCTGGATACCCAGGAATTCTGGGATCAGTAATTAATGATCAGATTAGTCTCGTAGTAGAAGGTTTCTAAAAATGATGCCATCATCATTCATTGCCTCAACAGAAGCAAGAAGTGATGTCAGCTGATGGAGGTCATAGGAAGCAGCTGGCTGTGGAGGGTGATGGGAAGGGGTCAGTGTGGTTCTGATCTGAATTTAACTCATAAAGCAAAAAGCAAAGTGTGCTGCTTATATACCACTTAAAGCAGCACTCTCTGGGCGGTTTGCAATTTAATTATGCAGGGTACACATTCCACCCCACACCCAGCAAGCAGGATACTCAGTTTTCCAATCTTGAAATGAAGGAAGGCTGAGTGAAGCTCGAGCCGGCCAACTGGGATTGAATCCAGGGTCGTGAGCAGAGTTTTGACTGCAGGACTGCAGTTTAACCACCACACCACCGGTCTTCAGAATTCAAAAGTGGACAGACGTATAATCGACAGATTCCCCCATCCATCATCTACAAAGCCTAAAATGATGGATAAGAACCTTGCGCTTTCCAGCCTGCCACAAGTTGGCAAGGCTACCTCCCAACTCCACCACCGGCGGCAGATGCAGATCAGAGAATGTGCCCTTCCAAAAATGTAACAAGGAACCCACAGGCTTCCCAGCGAGGCTAAAAGCAAAAGTCACAGCTTAGCGTAGGTGAGAGATTGTAAGGTGTGAAGCCTAAAATGATGGATAAGAACCTTGCGCTTTCCAGCCTGCCACAAGTTGGCAAGGCTACCTCCCAACTCCACCACCGGCGGCAGATGCAGATCAGAGAATGTGCCCTTCCAAAAATGTAACAAGGAACCCACAGGCTTCCCAGCGAGGCTAAAAGCAAAAGTCACAGCTTAGCGTAGGTGAGAGATTGTAAGGTGTGCCTTGTGGAGGCTAAAAGCAAAAGTCACAGCTTAGCGTATTGTAGGTGAGAGATTGTAAGGTGTACCTTGTTGAAGATGATCAAGAAGAATCAAATAGCTCATCAACCTGTTTCAAACATAAGAAGCATCTAGTCCAGCCCTTCTCAGTGGGGGCCCTGGCACTTTTGAAGGGGGCCACAGACTGGGAACAATCTTTCTCACATCTCCTTGTGAGATTCGTTGTGTGGTTTACCCCCTCCAGATTCAGCCTACAGTGGTGCCTCGCATAGCGACCGCTCCGTTTTATGACGAAATCGCTTTGCAATGGACTTTTTGTGATCGCAAAAGCGATCGCTTTGCGATGTTCCCTATGGGGTATTTTCGCTTTGCGATGATCGCAGGGAAGTGATCATCGCAAAGTCCCCATTTTCGCACAGCTGATCGGCAGTTTCAAAATGGCCACTGGGTAAACAAAATGACAGCACGCTGTTTTTTGGGACGGATTCCTCACTTTAGAGGCACAGAAAATGGCGGCACTATGGAGGATCTTCACTCAACAGTGAGTTTTAAGCCCATAGGAACGCATTGAAGGGGTTTCAATGCGTTTCTATGGGCTTTTTAATATCGCATAGTGATGTTTTAGTTCTGCAGCAATTTTTGCGGAACGAATTAACATCGCTAAGCGAGGCACAACTGTACATTCCTTTCCTATTGTCTTTAGGGCTGGGGCCAAAAAAAGACTGAAAAACGGCTGATCTGGTACATGGCAGCCAAACAGATCCTCCCGGGAAGTCCACGAGAAGGACACCAAAAGAACAGCTCTGTCTTACTCATGGTCCTCCAAATTAATATTGAGAACGACGCGGCTTCCCACACAGCCAAACAGATCCTCCCGGGAAGTCCACAAGTAGGAAACTTTTGGTGTCCTACTCGTGGACTTCCCGGGAGGATCTGTTTGGTCCTCCAAATTAATATTGAGAACAACGCGGTTTCCCACGCTGGAGGTAACGTGGCACCGTCGTGTCTAGCAGCTGCCAGTGGCCTTATCCTCCACTAGTGACTAAACAGATGCTTTGTGGAAGTCAACAAACAAGGCTGAAGTCCATCAGCTTTTCTCTCCCTTTGCCTTCAAACAATCCATATTCAGAGGTACACTGCCTCTGCGCCTGGAGTTTCTTTTTAGCTATCACGATTAATAGACAATGGGAGATTTCAGCTCCTCCACGTCTAGGTCTAACTCTCTTTTAGTGCCATCAAATCCCATGTTTCAAGGTGGCGATTTGTACGCATTCATTATATTAACATATCTATTTTACATATACCTGTAAAAGACAGAATTTAGAAAAGCTGCTTTAGGGTTCATTATATTAACATATCTATTTTACATAGACCTGTAAAATAGAAAAGCTGCTTTAGGATGCTGGCTGGGGGATTCTAGGGATTTGTAGTCCAGCCATGCTGGGGATTCTGGGAAGTGTAATAAAAAGTAATTTTCCCAATCTCTGTTTTAAACTACAGTAGGAAACAACCCCTCCACCATCCACAGGACCAGTATCCACATATTCATTTATCTGCTTCCTGAAAACTCTAAATAAAAACAAAAAAAACAGAAACATGTATTTATATGTATTTCCAGGATGTATTGACCAGAACTGGCAACTAGAGGGAGCCAGAGACCATGCAATGCATAGGTTTCAATATTTCCGCAAGTTTCAGCATCCGCGGCTTGGAACTGATTCTGTATACAGTGTGTGCCAGTGTGTGTGCATATGTGTGTGTAATGGGTTCATAGTAGAAGAAACCAGGATGGGCTGTTCTGTGTTGTTGGCACACATAATCCTGCCACTGAGACCCAACTCTCAAACAACAGAGTTGAATCTCGCTCCCGTTCCATCGACTGAGAAAAACTGCAATGGTCTGGAGGGAGTCTGGCCCTTCCTTCTAGCCCCATGCCCATTGGTTTCTCTGTTTGCCACCGGAATGGGATTCAAACGGTTCGGCAGCGGTGTTTACCTGGAAAGATCCTAACACCAGCTCAAAGACGAGCTTCACTTCCAGCACCTCCTTCTTCGCCGTGTCAGGATAGAAGGCGAAAATGGTGTAGTGAATGCCAAAGAGCGGGATCAGGAGAAGGGTGGATTTTGCAAGCCTCCTGGGAGGAAAGACGACAGAGGGAATCGATTATGCAGGCTGGAGAGGAGAGCTGGCACATTGGAGCTGATCAACACACGCAGGGTTGGAACCACAACCTTCTCAGCAGACAGCTATGAACAGAACGGCAAATTTAATGCGGAAACCTCACACAAAGAAATCTGGCCCACCAGGGGAGCCCAGGAACCTTCACTCTGTTGCTTTTCTATACATTGAATGTTTCCTGCACTTACAGGTTAGTTTCACCCTGCAAACAACGGGCAGGTGTGATTCTACAGGCATGCTTGCATCGGTTCCCCGTATCCCGAGAGGGTAGATAATGGAGGGCAATGAGTTAGAGATGGGTTCTCTGACCATGAGCCTGTGCAAATTCAGCCCCGAATCACCGAGGACTCTTGTTTGAGCCGATGTCATTATGTAAGGAGTTCTCGGCACAGCAAAAGCGAGATCCTTTGGAGCACCGTGTTTCCAAATTTAGGCTGTTTTGCTCTTCTCCTCTAATCCACGGCATTACCGGATGAGTCACACAGATCACACCTGGCCTCCTGGCTTGAGACAGAAATGGAACTGGCAAGAACCGGGTATTTATGCCAAGATGCCCGCTAATGACTTCTTCAATAGAACTGGCAACTAAGAGAAAGTTCAAGGGAAGAGAAAGTTCAAGGCCAGGTGATGCGGAGAAGGCAGCTGATGAAGGGATCCCCGAGGTGACAGACCTGTCCCACTAAAGCCAATCCTGAGGGAGTGGCAGTGGGAAGAATTAGAACTCGTGGCTCTAAATCTGACATAATGCCAGTGGAGGGAAGACCCCTGGCTAGTGCAGTGGCACAGGAACACACCACTGTGCACGTGGTCGGGGAAGCCATTTTGCAAGCCGGTGCAGCCGCCTCTTGGAGAACAAAAAAGAACTGGGACAGGGGAGGGTGCTGACTTCGATTCCACGTGTAGACTATGTTTTGGGTTTCGGTCCAAACTTTAACAGGAGCTCTTCAAGGGGTTGAACCTATCTCCCAAAGGGCATCCACTCCTTTAAGGCTCAGATGAAAACACGAACGGATAGAGAGCCCTCAGAAAAACAGACAGCCACTAGAGTTGACTTGGCAAGGAATACACAACCACGGGCACTTCAAGTTGTGTCATTGCCGTGTGCTTGCCAAATCCTTCTGCATCAGTGAAGGGTTGCATGGAGCCTCCAAATTGCCCCAGGCCAGCAACGAAGAGCGTTTGATGAAGAAGGAAGTACGAGATGTAAGCAACGTTAAGCAGGGACCTGCCATGCTTTATGAGTATATTATTCTAGAAATAGAGTTCCAAACAGAGTAGTCCTAGAACGAGCTAGAATTGTTAGCATGTATACATTACTGAAACAGCAATGTCCATGTTGGCTCAGGCACGTCATGAGAATGGCTGATGGTCGGATTCCAAAAGATCTCCTGTATAGAGAATGAGTGCAGCGAAATCGTCCCAGAGGGAGACCCCAGCTGCGATACAAGGAGATCTGCAAGCGGGATCTGAAGACCTTAGGAATGGACTTCCACAGATGGGAAACCTGGACATCTGAGCGTTCAGCCTGGCGGCAGGTGGTGCATCATGGCCTCTCCCAATTGGAAGAGACCCTTGTCCAGCAGGCCGAGGCAAAGAGGCAGTCCCGGAAGCAGCAAAATCAGGGAGCTGGACAGGGGACAGACTGGATTTGTCTTCAGTGTGGAAGGGACTGTCACTCTCGAATCGGCCTCCTCAGCCACACTAGACGCTGTTCCAAGCCCTCCATTCAGAGCACGTTATACCATTGTCTCTCGAGACTGAAGGATGCCTAATCTATTCTAGAAAACATCACATCCATTTATGGTTACATCCCAATAAGGAACTAAGCACTCAATTAATGGACCAGAAAGACATTCCGACGAATGTGGGGGTGCCACAGAAAATATGCAGCTATAAAAATATGTCTGCGAAATGAATAAAATCTGGTTTGTGTCGGAGAGCGTTAAAAGAGCACCGAGGGTTCATTCTGAAAGACTGCTAGGCCAGGGTTTAGGAGGCTTTGCAACCCGGTTGGTGCAGTTACTACGGATGTGCTTTTTTTCTGGACTACAAGCACCATAATTCTCCTTATTGGGAATCCCCTCCCCCCCTCGCAGGACTCAGGCCTTACCGACAACTAAATTGTGCTCACCTGGAAAGAAGCCCCAGCTGGAAGCTTCATGCTTTGGATAGGCCTAACTTCCTGTTTGAAAAGGAAGTTGTCTCAAAAGACGCCGGGAAGCTTCCTTTTCAAACAGGAAGTTAGGCCTATCCAAGGCACGAATTCTTCCAGTCTGGTACCCTCCAGATAAGCACAACTTAGGTGTCTGTAAGATCTAGGTCCTGTAGGCTGGATTCCCAGATAGGGGGATCATGGGATTTGTAGTCCAAAAAAAAAACTGAAATGCACCTTTCGACAGCCTCACTTTCTTCAAAAGGTTGACGTGATCATAAAATGGGGGAAGGATGCATCACATAAGACAATGCTGAACTCCTTCTAGGAAGGCTATGATATGACTGTTATATTCACAACAGGTTCTTGAAAGGCTCGATTTATGACAGAGAAAAAGGTAGAAGAAAGATTTAGAATGAAAGGTTTAACATGGAATGGCAGCCATTTTACGCTCTGTTTGGACCTCTAGAGATGGCTCATAATGAAAAACTGGTGGGGGAGTACATAAACCCATCTGGCATTATTTTGCAAAAAGATCCATTCATAATACCCTGCTTCTTCTGGCTCCCCTCCTTCACGGTTAAGATAAAAAAAGGCACTTAGTTAATAACTATAAATGGTCTCTCTGCTGACAAAATCCGTTAGGAAGGACAACAACCCAAGGAGAAATAGCTGGTGATGTCACGGCACCCATGCTCATCACAAAGCCCCGTTGCGTTGACCCCGTGAGCTCCAGATCCGCTACCACACCGGGGAAGGAACGAACCCCTTCCTTGCTCTGAACGCCCTGCTTTAAAAATGGCTTATTAAAAAAAGGTGAATGGCTGGCACTGTTCCCTGTGATATGTCTCTTAATCATCTTCTCTTAATGAAGACTGCAAAGCAATCAAGCATCTTGTTGTCCAGCAGGACATTCCCTCGAGGCCTTCACATCCGAGGTTGCTAATGAGTTTCCCAGAGTTCTCTGGGTTAATGTTTGCAGGTGTCACGGATGCAAATCGGTTTTGACAAATGCAGGAAGAGGTGACACCTGCACTAGACCATTAAGAGAATAAAAGAGAAAATTAAAAATAAAAATAAAATGAGCTTTTGATGATAATTTATCTTCCTCAGGCTGTGCACCAAGGTCTCGTGGGTCGTTCCAAACTTATACACTTTTCTTAAAGTCCCGAAGTATCTTGGACAATGTAGAGGCCGGATTAGCTTCTCAGATGGAAAGAGTTGCAGTGAGGGAACGATGTTTTTTCAAACCTTTCCTCCACCCAGTATTTTGGGATTTATTGCCCGTTTTGTGAAAAAAGGGGAAGCCAAGCCCTCTGAACCTCCCCTCATTTCCTCCTTCTGCCTTCTTGTCCAACTCAACAAATTTCTATTCAGCTAGAGGAACGAGGAGACCCAGAAGCACGGAAAGCGACCATCAGGGTCAAGATAAATAGAGATAGGCATGAATCAGAAGCCATGGTGATTCATTTTGATTTGTGATTCATCAAGGTCGATGGATCAAGAATTACAAATTTACGATTTTTCCTGATGAACCAACGAATCCATTTGTCAATTCGCTTTTTAAACTTTAAAACTATTTAAATGCATCTAGAGACACCAAATTTGCAGAGACGCTTCCCCTGACCCTCCTCTACCAGCCTTGCAAGGTTGGTGAAATTTGGGGTTTGGATGTATGGGGTTATACACCCACAAGGAGGGCCTCCCCAGGAAATTCCCTCCACCCCCCAGGCACCTAGAGACACCAAAATCACAGAGAAGCTTCTAACGATTCTCTACAATCCCTCCAGGTTTGGTGAAGATTGGATTTCAGACATCCAAGTTATATACCCACAAAGTGGGTCCCCCAGGAACATGCCCTTTAGCAGCCCTTTTCTCCTGAGGCCCTTTGCAGACTACAACACTTCCCATCTAAGAAACTAACCTGGCCTCTATATTGGCCATGAGACTTTGGGACTTTAATAAAAGCATCTAATTTTGGAACGACCCACGAGACCATGGTGCACAGCCTGAAGAAGATGAACGATCACTGAAAGCTCATTTTATTTTATTTTATTTTTGTATTTTCCTCACGGTCTAATAAATGTATCCCCTCTTCTTGCGTTTGTATTAGTTTGAAGACCACATGGCCTTGTCCTGTCCCCCCCCCAAAAAGTTTTGACAAAGTTCCTTTCCAAACCCGAGCGCCCTTTAGCGAGCATTTCAACAGCAGGCACACGACGGAGGCTCCAGCCGACTTACGAATATTGGCTCGTCTCATTTCGCCCGACATCTGGAGAGTGGAGCTTTTGCACCAGGATCCGAATGATGCAGATAAAGAAAATGAAATTTATCTGTTGCGGGGGAGAGAAGGGGAAAGAAAGACAAAACAGAGAGGTGAATATTCTCCTTCTCTTCCAAGCAGAGCTCATGAAATGTAACCTTTAAAACCCCAGCAGACGAATTTTTGCATCCTCGGGTCACTTGATCATCAGTACCTGCTAAAAGATGATGATGAAGCTACGATACTGTAGATATGCCAGGTGGTTAAAATATGGGGTAAGTCACTTGTGCCGCGGGAGTTGACATCACGGCAGGATCCTGCACCCAGCGCAGCCTTTTCTTGGACGGCCAAAGGACCACACAAATAAAACATACATCTTGGTGAAAGAGCACCAGAACAGGGTGGCAGCCATCTTGGGCCTGACATCAGCCAGCCTGGGATTCTGCCTTATTTAACATCCCAAGTAGGATGATGTCAAACCCACAGAGCACAGCTACAGACAAGGTCGATGCCCCCAGACAGATAAATGAGCCTTCTCGGTTAGTCATGAGGCAACGTTGCTTAGAAACGGAGACGGTGAGGTGAGATGTAATCCAGGACTACTTTGTGGTGGCCACCCAAGGAGATAGCCGTGGCTTTCAAACTGGCCCCCTCAGAGAAGCCTTGCTCTCTGTGCGCACAGCGCCGTTCCCACCACAGATCTATTCTGTGTCCAGCGTTTCCGTGGTCCTTAAACTTCATTTGAAATCCTCAAAATATTTCTAGCCAGCTAAGATGAGTCTTGGTCTGGAGGTTTCCTTGGTCTGCAAGCGCTTTCTAGAGTTCGGCCACCTCCCAGAAAGGTTGTGAGGCAAAGTCTGCGTAAATCTCCCTTCAGCAGCAAGAAGAGAAGAATTTCAAATTCAATAACCGGAACTTATGATTCACTTCTTGGGCTTGTAATCATGCCGGAACATCAACTCCTGGACTAATATTTTGGGTGCAAAAACACACACACACCCTTTTCTTTCCTGCGGCTAGACTGCAAGGAGGGGGACTTTCGTAGCTCTCACTTTGCTTTTCCACACTATTTGCAGAAGAGTAATTAAGAAAAGTCGATTTTGGCTAAAGAGCAATGCATGAAGCTGGTCCTTCCTTAGCCGGAAATATCAGAGAACCCTATTGCCAACTGTGTTAATCTTAGCAGCAAACCGTTGTTCATTAATGAGGTGCCGGTTGCGTTGTTGGGTAGGCATAGGCCCAAGAATGCAACCAGCAGCTCATTAATGAGTGGCAATTTGCCACCAAGTCTCTCATGATTTCCTTTATGGAAGCATAAACACGCAACAGGATTCCCGACACCATATTTTTCAGTGACAGTTTTGCAATGGACAGAAGCAAAGATGTGCTTGGAAAGTTACTTTTAAAAAAGCAGTTATTTACTGCTATAGTTCCAATGCCTGCCCCTAAATCATTAGTTATGTTTTTCCACAAGTAATTCTTTACTTTCAGTTTCTCTAAAGTAACTAAGCTATTTTCAGTTTGTTCGTTTTAGTTTAGAAAGATGAACAATATGAGCTGTTGGTCTGTAATACCAAACACACAATCCTCCAGTCCATCTCATTATCCCCTCAAGACCCATAAGAGAGCTGGAGGTGGCAGCGTGAACCCCATGATACTCCTTCTCCACCATTAATGAGGCTACACCTCTGTAACTCTAAAATTAAAACTTGAAACGGTAGTTCCCAAAAAGGAGGGAAGTTACGTCTCGTTAAGTTGTAACGAAGTCAAGCCTTTTCTCATTCCTTAGGAAAATGAATTAACGTAATTACAAATAATGAGCTACCTGTAATCAGTTACTTCCAAAAGATAATCTGGATAAATACATTGTAAAATAGCACTTTGGAGAAGAAGAGAATAAATTATGGGTGGTTTTTCAGAGATAGGATCCAGGGACCTTTTGAATCCAAAAGTGTCTCGGAATGTCGTGACTGCCAAGGGAAATCAAGATCCCGTACTTAAGATTTAATCCCTGTTTCCTCTAAATTCTGAGTTAAAACAGACTAGATTTACAATATTTACCCGAGAGCAATATTTGCAAATAGCAGAACCATCTGGAGTGAAACAGAACTTGGGGGATTTTCACCGTTCTCATTATATTTATTTATTTATTTATTTATTTATTCATTTATTTATTTATTTATTTATTTATTTATTCGATTTTTACCCCGCCCCTCTAGACAACGTCTACTCAGGGCGGCTTACATCAGTTAAAACAAATTAAAAAACATATAAAATGCATTTATACTAATTAGTTATTATGCGGATGGACCTGCTCTCTCTTGCATGAAAACATAATTGGATACCACCCAGAGTTATCTATTAGACTGGCCACGGATTTCTCCCAGGGAAGCCAGGAAGACAGCAATGAAGGGGCAACATCCAGATCACAACACGCCAGGTATCAACCATACTTAACCAGGGTAATGAACTAGGATGGACGTTGCCCTTTCCGTTCTTACTGGCCATGTCAAATCAGGGAGCTCTTACAGGAATCCAAAACGCCAGTTAAAACGCTGTCAAATAAGGGCATAAAAGATCTGAAATAAAAGGAATCCAGGATGCACAAAGGACGAGAGAGGTCAGGAAGCCAGAATGCAACCGCTCAGCAGCCCAGAATCAGCTCACCTGCCCCTACCATTTCTGCATCTTCCTGGCTCATATTAGGCGAGTTAGTTACCTGTGTGTGTTCCTCAACATGCTGCCACTCAAACCTCAACCTCTCACTTAGAATCAGAAAACGATGGCGTTGGAAGGGGCCTAGAAGACCATCCAGTCCAACCCTCCTGCTCAAGGCAGGAATCCTAATCAAATGAGATCTAACAGGAGGATCTCTCTTTTTTTTTCTTGGATGCCTCCGGCGTTGGAGCGCCCACTACCTCCTGAGGCCATGGGTTCCACTGTCATACTGCTCTAACAGTTAAGAAGTTTTTCCTGATATTCAACCAAAATCTGGCTTCCTGTTCCTTGAGCCCATTGTTCTGTGTCCTGCACTCTGGGAGGAATGAGAACAGATCCCGCTTCTACTTCTGCAGGACTACCTTTCATGTCTTTGAAAAGCACTCTCCTATCTCCCCTCCGTCTCCTTTTCTCAAGGCTAAACCAGGCCCATTTCTTTCAGCTTTATCTCACAGGGCTTGGTTTCCATCCCCCAGATCATCTTCTGAACTTGTTCCAATTTATCAGCATCCTTCTTGAAGTGCAATGTTAGGATGAGACCAAACCAGTCCAGAATAGAGGAGAACTAGCACCTTGTGGTATTTGGAAACTATACTTCTATTAATGCATCCTGAAATCGCATTCGCCTTTTTTGCAGCCACATCACACGGTTGGCTCATCTTTAGCTTGCGATCTCCAATGATTCCAAGATTCTTGCCCCTTCTTCTCCTTGTTCCCACAATGCTGAATCTGTTGGAGATGGTCCTCTTCGGAAGCAAAAGACAAACTATCATGCTCATAGCTAAGCCAGCACTCAGCATTTCACTCCTTCCTAAAGAAAACGTTGCCGTTTCTGTGTTTCTGTTCAGGTCCTAGAAGGAACAACAATAGATAGAGAGACATTTCACGCCAAACGGCTTTCATAGCAGGTGAAGAATGTGGATACTTTACCAATATGGACACCAAAATAGGGGTCTTGATGATCCACCAGTGGGGAGAATCAATTAAATCCCAGCACCTGAAAGGAAATCATCATATGTTAAGAGCTTCTTATATTCTGGAGATGGTCAGGAAAAGTCAGAATACTACACCTAAATGCCTGATATACTAGAAATAGACATTTATGAATTGGGTGGAGGATTTTCTGGTTTTTATGGGGAAGACGCTTTATAACCACATGGTGTTATACAAAGTGGAGTCAAGCCACTGCTTCATTGAGCTGGAGGTGGGGGGACGATCGGCAGCCCGCCAGGTGCCATTGGACTACAACTCCCATCACCTCTAGACAGTATACGGTGTGGACAGGGATGATGGAAATTGTAGACTGATTAACACCTGGAGGTCCCCAGCAGCCCTTCCTGAGCAACAGTTCACATGATACCCACTGAGATGGTGTAGCCCTCTTTCCCGTGAGAAGCCCTAGACCAGCGTCGGATGGATTAGACCCCAAACGAGTGACTTTATAGCCATTATGGCAGGGTGTGGTGGTGGGATTAACATTGTTGATCTCATGCAGAGAAATTCTGGCTCAGAAAAAGACAACAGGGAAATCTCTCACTTGAGAAAGCCCATGGATCAATGCGCAAAGTTGTGTTATTTCTCATTTGGTCACTTACCATTTCTTATTTGAGCCCTGAAACTGGGACTTTGAAATAGCTTCTAAATGGAAAACCACCTTCCTGAGGCTTCTGGAGGCATTAATGGTCATTTTTAAAAGATCCCCCCCCAAGTGTGGAGGTACGTATCTGGCCTGCTGGGATCAAGGGAGGGGGAAAAGGATGCTCAAAGATGTTGCTCACTCTTGAGCTTCAAGGAATCCCAAACTGCCTCTCAGTTTTAAATCCGGCATAAGGAAAAGGTGGAAATGGGTTTGCTCGCTTACCCGAAATCCTCATAGTTTATCCTCGTGATGGTCCATGCTGAGATAAACACAGTGGGCGCCCCTGTCAAGAGAAGGTCAGAAGTTGGTTAGATGCCTTTTGGGCTTGTGACGAAATGGTGCTTGAAGCAGCTTGTGGCAGAGAGAGAAAAAAAGCAAGAAGGGTCATCTTAACACACACACTGACCGCAAACAAGTAAACATCAAACCCTTAAGCATTCCTGCTCACCCAGGCATCCGTAAGGGTTGGTCGAAATTTTTCTAAAATGTTCTAGATAGAATGTAAAAGTTGCCTTCCAAAGACCACATCATCTGCTATCGGTACAGACCGATCACCACACTGAATTTCTGAAGAAAAGGTTGTTGAATTATTTTCTGTCTAGAGATGGGCATGAACCGGTTTCATTGCAATTCGTCCCAGTTCGTTAAGGCAGCAGTACGGGGTGGTGGTGGCTGCTGCTCCCTTTCCCCGCCTTCTTCAGCCGATCAGCCCCTCACGAGGGCCAGCCTGGGAATTTTAGTGTAAGAACATCAGGGGACCCAAAGTTGGGAACTAGAGATGGCCATGAACTTAGCTGATCTGCCACTCAGACAAAAAGGGCGGGGCAGAGAAGTCTGTGCTCTTGCTGGGACTGGAAGATCAGTTGAGGAGGTGCAGGAAGCTTGCATGCTGCACCTGGTGAGAGGGATTGATTGAGCCAGAGGAGGTGGGAGAGCAGAGCAGCAGCATCCGTGCTTCCACCTTGACGAACGGGGACGAACCGGTTCGTGCCCATCTCTATTTCTATCTCGCATTGCAGTGAAGATTAAGGGAGACTGTTTTAATTGTTGTGAGATGAAGACAAATGTGCCTCTAAGCATGTTTTCCTGACCGTCTTTTCAGCAATATAAGGTTTTCGCCTTAGAAACCAGCTTGAACGCTGAGGAACTGCATGGACTTCCCGCAATCCTTCATGGTGCTGCCTCTTGTCTCACACATTCTGCCCTGCCACACTTGGGTTTAGAAATTCTTTCAGTTTTTCTTCACCATGGTTCCAAATTGCTAAGGTGTCATCCACGTATCGGAACCAGACTGGGTGTGAAGGGCACCGAAGCCAGGCCCTGGCTAAACCATCTCAACAGCATCCACCCAAATATACAATTCATCGTGGAAAAAGAAATAAGAGGGCCAACTCCCTTTCTTAGATGTCATGTTCATACGCAAAACTGACCTCCTATTGGGACACAAGGTCTACAGAAAACCCACTCACCTACACAAAAACTCCATCCACCACCCACGACAGAAAAGAGGCATAATCAAAACACTGGTAGACCGGGCAAATCGGAACTGTGAAGCTCAATTTCTCAGCACCGAAGTCAACTACCTGAATTGGCCTCTACAGGCAAACGGCTATTCCAAAAATTAAATCACAAGAGCCATCAAACCAAGAAAACAACACCAAACTGAAGAGGAAAAACAGCCACTCACAAATAAACTATTTTTGCCATACATCAAAGGACCAGCATGCAGAAACTTTTGAAAAAACACAATCTACAAACAGTATTCGGGCCCACCACAAAAATACAGCAAATGTTATGGTCAGCAAAGGACAAAAGGGACCCCCTCACCACTGCAGGAGTATACCGGATACCTTGCAGTTATGGCCAGGTATATATTGGAACCACAACATGTAGCATCCACACTAGAATCAAAGAACATGAGAGACATTGCAGACTAAAACAACTGGAAAAATCAGCAGTAGCTGAACATGCCCTGAAACAAGCTGGACAT